AAAGGGATTTCAAATCTAATAATATTTATTTTCAACATAGCTAGTCAAATGTATAAARCAGCCGAAGTATGAAAAGAATCGGCCGACCCCCATCCGTTCGACCTGCCCGGTTTTCTCAGACACTCACTCTTAATGATTCTGAGTATTTTTTACATGTCCTGTTTCTGGATTCCTTCAAATACCTCTCAGAATTTCTCTAACACATTTTCTCGTAAAATTGAATAAAGTTTGGTTTGTCAACTGCATGAAGTTWGCTTTGTCACTGCCGATCTCTAGTACCCATGACGTCACTACAATCTGACCAATCAGGAATCGCATGTTAAAATAGCTCAGGCTTGCGCGCGGAGCTAAAAATAGATTTTYAAAAAACTTTCATGGGGCACAGGAATGTGCTCTCTTACTTCATATTCTCTTGGAGAAAATATATTCCGTTATAGCCGCAGTCACAAATATGTTTTGTATCGCGATTTTCCTATCGCGAAGGTAATTCTGAGCCGACAACACGGGCGCCTCTCTATCGATCCAACATAGAAGAATCGCGATACTATTTCTTATAGCAGCTGTTTGTTTCTTTCAAGCCTTGACAGTGGATTTATAATTCCATTACCTATTTCATGTGGTCTGCAAGGACTTTCTGCAAAAGGTGATCCAAATGTATGGTATAGGCTCCTGCAATGCAAAGCAATATCAATTGTACAACTGCAAAGTTACCGTCTGGGCCATGCAATTATGAAAATACAGTAAGCAACTTACTCAGGTGAGTTGAGGTTAAGTCCAAGTGTCGTAAGATCGCTGCAAATATAATATAGAAATAAATATGTCAGTATTAATAGCTAGAAGTTAGCAGTTYCCATTCATGTTTTAGGCCTAGTGGGTAAGTTTGGAAAGTTGGGGAGGGGAGGGAATGGGGAGGGGGGGCAAGGTAGCGAAAGATTATTTCTCATCGCAACTTTACGTCAAAAGGGCAAACGCAGGAGCTAGAATAAATAACCTCTGGACCCAGATATATCTACATACCAGTTATCAATCTTATTTAATGCAAATGCCTGAATAAAATTGTAGCTGAATTATGTGTTGTTTTTTTACCTTCCTAAGGCCAATGTTACAAGGTTGGGCTCAGTCTCTGCTGCTCTGATAAATGTTAGCAATCCTATCATTCCGAACTGATCTGTTACCATGCCTTTGGGGATATTTGTAATCATTCCTGGGTAACAGAAATTACAAATATTAATTATCAGAATAAAGGCTTTACACCACCACGTGATGGCAGCCATGACAGGAGGCAAAACAATAGAGTCTTTCTCCCCTGGGAAACTGGATTCCCTCTCGCGTAAATCAGATTAGACCAGTTTCAATTTTTCTTGCCCCCWGTCATGGCTGCAATCACGTGATGGTGCAAAGCCTCTATTGGAAAAATTTACTTGTGAATATTGAGGCTCCACATTTATGATTTTTGTCAGTTTTCTAAGCGAGCAGTGTTTGGTCTGTTTGTAAAGAATGATTATTTTGTATTATTTTTGACTAATGGAAACCAAACTGCCGCATGATGGCAAACTCACGGACACCTTACTCTAAGCTACTCTAAACTACTCTCTAGTTTATACTAATGCAAAAGGGAAAGGACGCCATGAATTAATCACCCTCATTAAGGCTGCGTTCATGATGTATACCGCAGGGAGGGGGAGGGGGGGGGCAGAGGAAATTTCAAAAATACTCCAAAATGTCAAGATCTCCCCCCCCCTTAATGTCAAAAAAAATTATGCCCCCCCTCCTTTAGCAGGAAAGAAATTGTACCCCCCCTATATACCTAAATACAAACACTTCTTTGTCCTGATACCTACACAAAATCTTATGAAAGCCATTGCAATGACTGTTAACAAGAGCCTGCTATAGACTGTCTTCCTGATCGCGATACATAGTGAACTGGAAGAGGAATATTGGTTTCCATTTCCTCCTCACTGACGACTATTTTTTGTTTTTTGAAAATTTAAAAAAAAATTTCTTGAAAGGAACCAGTGAGCAGCACTTAGGATGCTAGGTTGTAAAACTTTTTATTTTATATCTCCTACGCGTTTCGTCTAACTCTGTACACTTCTTCACGGGAGTTTAACAATAAAAGTTTAAAGTCCTGTATTTAAATACCAACTATCCTTATCTACGTATAGGAAGTAGGGCATGTAAAGGTAACACGTATACAGGACTCTAACAAGGGAGGAACATAGTTTACGCATGTTGAATAATTTTTGAATAATTTCGGGGGCGAAGTTATAGCTACAGTATAACGTGTTTCCTTTACATGATAATGATTATGACAATAGTGATAAAATTGAAGAAGATGATGATCAAGATTACAATGTTATTTAAATAGTGGTGTACAATTATCCTGTTCACTAAATTTCTTGTTGAGTTTTATATGTTAGTTAATAGTCATTTGTTATTGACAGAACAAGACCCTGGTACCAGGGTAAGCTGGGATACCTGGAGGACCTGGTTTCAACATGCATGGAGGATTTAGTTGGTTGAGCTTCAAAAATACTGATAAAGTATTTCATGACGTCTCAAAGTAATGATAAACCAGACCATGGTTGGGATGGTTTACTAGTATCAGAGTCTCGAAGAATCTAAAGCAGAAGTTAAAAATAAGTTGCAAAATTTCGAACGACAGTGTTAAAAGCCGTTTACAGGCAGAGCGTTTATGCCCGACTCATCAAAAAACTCAATCTGGAACTCCAATTCCTGTTCCGGGATCCGGATTTCAGCATACGTAATTAGCTTGTTGATATGCAACGTCTCWAAAGCATGCACCATTCGCACGGCACGCTTTAAAATCTAATATTTACTCAAAACCTTTCTCATAATTGCTTTACATTTTATAATCTATCGTATAGCAGCCTAAACCACCGACGAAGACGTGTACGTTTTTTGGTTTGTGAAGTCTTCAACCCGGCTTGCTCAAGTGATGGCTGACAAAGATATTGAGAATTTGGTTCGTTCAGCCTTGGAAGAATTCGCCTGTAACAAGGCATGATTGGTAGCGATATGATGGGAAATTTGGGAAGGCCAGAGCTGCCTTTGCATACCTTAATATTAACAATAGATGGGGCAGAATATTACACTATTTTACACTGTAATAAGCGGATATTATATAAAAATGCGTTTAGAAATTTTATCCCACTTGTCTTAATTCAAATCTGTATAGCACATTTGCACGATGACGTCACGCGCGCAAAGCATGCCGGTTGTAGAGGTCAAGATTCGCGGGAAATTACAAAGAAAACAAAACAAAATGGAACAGGGTATTGTCA